TTCCTTTTCCTGGAACTGCAAGTGGATTGTGTGAATCTTTTTTTTCTGGAATGTTCCTTTTTTAAATCAAAGTATAGTTGATTTACAATATTGTGTTAATTTCAGCTGCAGCGCACAGTGATTCCGTATTTTTGCGGATTATACTCCTTCCAAGACGATCATAAGATAACAGGCGCACTGCCCTGTGCTGTGTAGTCCGTTTTTGTTGCTTATCTGTCTCCTATACAGTAGTTTGCGCCTGTGAATCCCACACCTCTAACTTGTCCCTCCCCCTTTCCCCCCTTCTTTGGTAACCACACGTTTGTTTTCTACATTGCTGAGTCATTCATTTGTAGAATAATTATTATCTGGTCCCTTAGAAGTTTGCTGATCCCTTCTTAGGGTAACACAGTGAGCCACAGGCAGCAAAATGTGGGCTGGGGAGTGTCTGGAAAGTTCTACTCTATGTCACCATTATAGCGAAAGGCTCCCAACTCCAAGGTGTGCTTTTTAAAGGCAGGGGCTTTCCTTTCCTCGCCTCTGCATCCCCAGCACGGTGCCATTCATAGCAAACACCATCAAAGAAAAACCAGGGCTGGACAGTACTTAAAGCGGTAAAAACAGATTTTATTCAATTGCAGTCACCAAAGGCAAAGAGACCTGAGTACAGAATCAGGCTCTATTCTGAACACAATGTGGACAAGTGGGGTTTTATAGCCAAAGAGCAGGTAGGGATCAGTGGACAGAAAGTTACTAGGAGGAGACGTCAGAGGCGAGGGGGGTTTTAGCTGAACCAGCCTAGCAGGATTCTTGCTGGAGGCTGTCCAGGGTGATCAAACCATCCAGGGATGAACAACCTGATCAAAGGGTGATCGGGTCTGGAGGATGGGGGGTTCTGGCTAAACCGACTTCGAAGGGGCTTGCTAAGATTAGACAATGAAGAGACTGACACTTTTGAAAGACCAAAAGATGAGGTCTAGTTTCAAAAGAACTCAGAAGAACCTGAGTAGAGTTTGGTGGAGAGGAGAATCTTTGTCCACACACAGGAAACACGGAAGAGAGAGGAACAGAAGAATGAATGTGAAAGAGGTACAGCTGTGAAGAAACTCAATTCACATCTTCAGCCCTGATTTATGCCTCATTAACATGCACACACTTCCCAAAGCTTCATATTAAGATCATGGATTTTACTTATGTATGTACATACATTTTCAATGATGTTTGTATTTATTTATTTTTAATTGAAGTGTACTCGATTTACAATGTTGCGTTAGTTTCTGGTGTACAGCATAGTGATTCAGCTATACATATATGTATATGTATATATTCATTTTCCTATTCTTTTTCATTATAGGTCTTTACAAGGTATTGAATGTAGCTCCCTGTGCTATATGGTAGGACCTTGTGGTTGATCTACTTTATATATAGTAGTTAGTACCTGCAAACTCGAACCCCCAATTTATCCCCCCGCAACTCTTCCCTCCCCTGCCCCGTACCATAAGTTTGCTCATAAGTTTGTGAATTTGTTTCTAAAACCATGGATTTTAAAACTGCAAGCCCCGCACTCATTTGCAGGAAATGCCAAATCGTTTGAGGCTGATGACAGCTTTCTTTGACATAAAAAGCGCTTGCTCCTGAGTTTATCACATAGCAATTCTACCTGAACACATTACAGTTCTTTGTAGCAACATGAGGCAACGTCTCTGGCTTTGAGGATGAAAACAACACTCAAGTCATATATTTAAATGTTCATTTTCACTGTGACTTTTCGACCATGAATATTGACGAGCATTAAGCAAACGGACCCCCGCTGCCAAGTTCACAAACATCCACGGCGAACAGAGATTGACTGTTAGCGAGCCCCCTGGGGAGGATGAACTTGAGAGCTGACACAATCAAAACAAGAGGAAGAAGTCCCGGAGTCGAGTGTTTGTGGGTCAGATCAGCAGACACTTGGCCCCCGTCCAGGGCCTCTCCCAGGAGGGTTTCTCCAGAAAAAGTGAAAAAAGGGAAATGAAAACTTGTCAAGGATGAAAGCACAGCAGCCAGTGCTAAAGCACACCCTTTCTTCCGGGTGTCACCAGGACTGGGATGACCTTGCCTGGGGCATGGGGATTCTGGAGCAGGTGGCTGTGGACCAGGAACAGGAGCCCAAAATGACTGCAAGGGCCTTGGCCTGAGCTGCCACTTCCCCTGATGCTGAGAGTGCCCTGCCTCGGGTTTTCTCTGACCCCTGCCTTTTCCCTCTGGGACGTTACTCAAATGCTTCCTCCTGGCAGGTCTGGGCAGAGAGCTGGGGTTGCAGATGCCCGGGACATAGTCCCTCCCCTCCTGAAGCTCAGAATCAGTGGAAGACAGAGACACAGGTAGGGTGGCGCAGATGCCACAGGGCAGGGGAGAGTTGGCTGTGGCATCTGGGGAAGACGGAACAAGAGTAGCTGGGGAGTGGACAGCTGGCCGGAGACTGCAGGGACCAGAGGGGAGCAAGCTGTCGGAGCCAATAAAAGGTGGAGTGGTGGTGGCAGACCTAAGGAGAGGTGGCCTTGTGTAGTGGAGTGAAGAGTGTCGTCTCCCCCCTCCCCCAAATTCATGTCTACTCAGGACTTCAGAATGTGACTTATTCGGAAACAGGATCTTTGCAGATGGAATTAGTTAAGGATCTCAAGAGGAAGGCATCCTGGGTTTGGGAGGATCCTAAATCCAACACCTGCTGTCTTTGTGAGAGAAGGGAGATGGAGGTTTGGACACAGACACGAAGGAGAGAAGAGGCCACGTCATGACAGAGGCAGAGACTGCAGGGATGCGGCCACAAGCCACAGAGAGCCAGGAGCCACCAGAAGCTGGAAGAGGAAGGAAGGGTTCTCCCCCCAGAGCCTCTGGAGGAGCCTGGCCTTGCTGGCATCTTAACTTCAGTCCTCCGGCCAGAACTGTGACATAACAAATTTGTGTTGTCTGAAGCCACCAATTTTGTGATAATTTGCTACAACAGCCCCAGGAAGCTCACGCACCTGGCGGAGCAGGAGAGCTAGTGGAGGAGGGGGTAAGTGTCAAGGGGCAGCCAAGGTCCCCCACTGACCACGGTGTGATCTCGAACAGTCCTGTGGTCCATCCGAGCTTGTGTCGCCATCTGAAAGGTCCCCCCCAAACCCGTTCATGGCGTCTCATGTCACGAGGACCAAACAGGGCATGGATAAGAGTGGCTTGGTAAACCAGATCCCCAGCTGCAAGGAAAGAGGCTGTCTTGCCCCGGCAAGTCCACTCAAACAGACTGTCTGAGTTCCCAGCCCGACCCCTCCCCTGCCACCAGGGCTCCCCTCTCTGTGCCCTGGCTTCCTTTGTGGTGAGGACTAAACATCTGACCCACGCCTCTGGGTCAGCTCTGAGCACAGCGGGGAGTCGACGATCCTTAGGCATTTGGGTGGCGACCCCTCCACAGTCACCAGGGCCACGCAGTGAACAAGGCAGACCCCGCCAGATGGAGCTTGTTTCTAGGAGGGGACACAGGCCAGAAAGCACACGAATTCATGACCCGATCTCAAGCAGGGACAAGAGCTCTGAAGAGTACGAATCAAGGTCTGAAAGAGACCTGTTTTTGGTAGGCCAGGGAAGGACTTTCAGAAGACATGACGTTAGGCTGGCATCAGAATGACAAGAAAGAATCTGTCCTAAAAATCCCGGAAGCAAGCTCTCATTTTGTAGAAGAGGCCACAGAAGGCTGGAGGGTGAATGGTTTGACCTGCGATACGCTTCTAGCCGAGGGAACACGACAAAGGTGGCTGGAGTCATTCCCGTGATCACAGCCTATCAGATGCTGTCCCAGGAGGCTGGAGTGAGGGAGCCT